CGTGAGGGGTGTGCCGACACGAGGGGCGTTGGCCTTTCCTGGTGGAGCCCTCTGTGGAGTTCCCTGCTTGGGCCACGAAGCGCGCGAGGGGCGTCCCGGAATCACGGGGCGGGGGCCCATGCGAGGGGCCATGTGTGGAGCTCCCTTTGGGACCACGGCGAAGCGCGTGAGGGGTGCGCTGGAATGTGTGGCGGGAGCGTCGTGAACGCAGCCTCGGGGGCGTTCGGTGGAGCTCTTCCCTCTGTGGCCACGAACTGCTAGAGGGGTGTGCCGGGATGTGCGGCGGGGACGCATGTGAACGCAGCCATTGGGGCCTTCGGTTGAGCCCCCCGGCCACGTGATGGGTGTGCCGAAATGTGTGGCGGGGACGCATGTGAACGCAGCCACTGGGGCCTTAGATGGAGCCCCACATGGTGCCACGATCCGCGTGGGGGGTGTGCCGAAATGTGCGGCGGGGACGCATGCGAACGCAGCCGCTGGAACGGTAGGTTGAGCTCCCCATGGGGTCACGAAGCAGAAGAGGGGTGTGACAACGTGTGACTGAGTGAGAGCACTGATGCTGATGCTGCTGATCCTGCTGATCCTGCGGCTGATGATGATGATGATGATGATGATGATGATGATGATGATGCTGATGCTGATGCTGATGCTGATGCTGATGCTGATGATGATGATGATTACGATGCTGATGCTGATGCTGATGCTGATGCTGATGCTGATGATGGAACTCATGATGATGCTGATGATGCTGACGATGGTGGTGATGGTTGTGATGCTGGTTGTGGCGACGATGGTGAGGATGCTGCTCATGAACATGATGATGTCGATGATGATCACGATGCTGTTGCCGATGATGCTGATGATTTTGATGATGATGATGATGATGCTGATGCTGCTGCTGATGCTGAGGATGTTGTTGATGATGCTGATTTTGCTGATGATGCTGATGATGATGATGATCGTGCTGTTTCATATTGTGGTGATGATGATGACGCTACTCGAGTATGATACTGCTCATGCTGATTATACGATGGTTGCCGCTACTGCATATGATGATGATGGTGGTGATGATGATGATACTTACGATGAGGATGATGATGGTGATGATGATGATGCTGAAGATGATGATGTTGACGCTGATGGTGATGATGCTGCTGATGATGATGCTGATGCCGATAATGACGATGATGATGTTGATGCTGATTGTCATGATGGTGATGCTGATGCTGCTGACGATGGTGATGGTGGTGGTGATGGTGGTGAGTATTGTGACGACGATGATGACGATCCTGATGATACTAATGATGATGGCGATGCTGGTGGTGGTGATTATTGTGATTATGATTCTGAACATGATGCTGCTCTGGTTGATTCTGCTATTGTTGCTGCTGATGATGATTATGATGATGATGTTGATGACGACGGTGCTGATGGCGATGATGATGGTGTTGACGATGATGCTGATGATGATGATGATGATGCTGACGATGATGATGCTGATGATGATGATGCTGATGCTGCTGCTGCTGATGATGATGATAATGATGATGATATGATGATGATTATTATGCTTATGTTTATGATTATGAGTATGGTTGTGATGATGGTGATGATGGTGATGATGGGGAGGAGGAGGAGGAGGAGGAGGAGGAGGAGGAGGAGGAGGAGGAGGAGGAGGAGGAGGGGAGAGGAGAAGACGCGGGGCACTGCTGATTCAGAGCGGTGATCCACCACCACATGATTGGTCGGTCACTGATCCTTCCTCACCTCTCCCTTCCCACTTCCCCCTCCCTGCCCTGGCTTCCGTCTGCAAGCGCCCCCGCCGCCCCTCCTCCACCTCATCCTTCCTCCTTCTCCTTCTCCTCTTCCTCCCTCCTCCATCCTCCTCCTCCTCCTCCTTCTCCTCCTCCTCCTCTTCCTCCCTCCTCCTTCTCCTTTTCCTCCTCCTCCCTCCTTCTCCTCCCCAGGCGACAGATGGCGGCAGCCTCGCCGAAGAAGGCGGTCTTCTTCGACGCCGGGGCGAAGCGTGGCGAGATCCAGGAGCTGAAGGACGAGCTGAGCAATGCGAACAAGGAGAAGAAGAAGGAGGCGCTCAAGAAGGTCATCCAGGCGATGACCAACGGTCTTCGGAGCGAACGAATAAAGGGAGCTGCTGGCGAGCCCGCTGGCCCTGACCCAGCGCCACCACGTGTGCGTGAGGCTCACGATGGCCCCATGGACGGCCAGATAAGTCCACAAACGCTGAAATTTGTTTTGATTGTTTGGTGGGATCTCCAGAGCCTTATCCAAGATGATGAGGAGGAGGGGGAGGAGGAGGAGGGGTCCTTCGTAAGACGCTGTGTAGCGAGAAACGTCAGAAACGTCAGGGGTCCTTCGGGAAACGGGTCTTGGACCCCAGGCCTCCCCCTGGGACCGGCCTTCGTCCTGAGCTGAGGCTTGACGGCCCCGCAGGCCGGGATCGGCCCTAATGGGCCAGACACGGCGAAAAGAAAGTCCCAGGCCCCTTGCCCTTCCGGACCCCTTCGACGAATATCGGAGGCCTGGAAATTGGCACCAACACCAACACAAGGGGGTTGCCTCCGCAGGGGGAAGATGATCCTAGATTTCGGTGTTGGTGGTAATATGTCGGTCACCTTGGCCGCCAGAATATTACCACCATCACCGAGATCGGGATCCTCTTCCCTCGGTGGAGGCACACCAACGATATTGGTGTTTGTGTCAACCTCTAGGCCTGTCAGAAACGAGAGCCCTTAGCCCCTTCCCCTTGAGGATCCTTTTAGGACCTCTTCTCGCTGGGTCTGCCCGGGCGTGGTCTTCCCTCAGGAGGGACAACACGCTCACAGTCACAATTCACCGTCGATTCCCCAGAAAATGTGGCAAGATCCTGGAAGAAGGGGGCGGGGGGAGACAGAAGCCCCGAACACATGGGAAAAGAGTGGGGATCATATCGTTTGTGTCTACAGTGCAGTTTTTTATGCATGCTCCGCGTGCGGACCATCTATTCAAAATGCAGGGATTTAGTATTAGAAACAACGATGAGTTCATGCATACATTTATTCATACATTAATCATGCATTATAATTTCTACATTCTTGAAAATCCCATGTATTCAAAACTGCCCTGTATCACCTGTGTCTCTTTATCTGTGTGTTCCAGGGGGCCCCTTCATGTCCAGGTGCCGCAGGGGAACCGCCCCTTGCCCTGGGGCCGCTTTGCGGCCCGCCCCGCCCCTCTCCGCCTGCTCCCCGGGCGCGTCGTCGTCGTCGTCGTCGTTGTCGTCCTCGTCGTCGTCGTCGTCGTCGTCGTGGCTTTCGTCGTCGTGGCTTTCGTCGTCGTCCTCCCAGAGGTCTGGACGTGTCCTCGCTGTTCCCGGACGTGGTCAACTGCATGCAGACGAACAGCCTGGACCTGAAGAAGCTGGTCTACCTGTACGTCATCAATCCAGCGGCGCTGCCGCGCGCATCCGCTCCTGCTTGCGTGTGTGCGTGCGCGCGCGCGCGTGTGTGTGTGTGTGTGTGTGCGTGTGTGTGCGTGCGTGCGTGCGTGCGTGCGTGCGTAAGTGCGTGCGTGTTTGTGTGTTTGCCTGTTTGTCTGCGTGTGTATTTTAGGCTTCTCCCCAGTGGTGCTTGCTCCTCTCCTTCTTTCTCCTCCTCTTCCTCTTTCTCCGGGGGCAACGGTCGGGGGGATAGGCATAATCAGGGGGGATGCATCGACCTCGAATGGCTGATACATCGACGATGCATCCACCATGCGTCGTTGGGATCAGGGCGATGCATCGACGATGTATAGACGATACGTAGGGGCGGTCTGCATCGACGATGCATCGACGATGCATGGGCCATGTATCGGCCATTCGAGGTCAATGCATGCCCCCTATGCAGATCCCCCCCTATCGTGCCCCTAATTCCTCCTTCCCTGGGCACAGGGCGACACGCCGGCGTCCACCCAGCAGCGTGCGGCAGGCCAGGTGCTGATTTGTACGTCCGCCAGTCAAGTCGCTCTGAATGCCATTCCGCATTTTCCGCCCCTTCTCCCCGACCGGCCTCGTCGTCGGCCTCCTTGCAGTCGAAATTTTGTAAGGCAGTTTTCGGGCATGAGTGCTGCTTTGTGTTGGTCGGACCGCCTTCGTGCAGTCTCCTCCACGCCCTATGGGGTGATCTTATCCATCCTCCGCGCTGCGTTGCGAAGAATATAGTGCGCATTGTCATTAGTCATTCTTCTCAGCTTTATCAATGCAGCAGCGCGTCAGTCGGCTAACGCGTGCTGGGGTGTTGGTTGCGGGGCAGGCAATTATTTCCTTTCCATATCTTAGTAGCCATTGGCCGTGAGACCCTTGATTATTATTTGGACGTACCTTGTGATATCTTCTGGGGCTGCAGCAGGTGCCAGAATGTTACAGGCTGTTGCCTGGTAGGAGCTTCAGGTGAAACTCGACAGTGAAGCAGCTGCCACCTTGTTTGAGAATCCTTGCGTGCTCGCACCTTGACGTTGCCACGTACGGGAGCCTTAGAGATCAGCATCCACCGAAATCTCTAAGGACGGCAGTTCCATGAAGTGAAGATCGAGGGATTCAGCGGCCTAGTGCTACTTGATCGGAACGAGGACGGAAGCTGTTGGATTGGTTGTCCCTGTGTTTCGGACCTCCAACGGCCTCCAGAGAACTCCACTCGGCTTCCAGGGGCCTCCAAGGACCCCCAGGCACCTCCGAGGATCTCTTGGGAGGGGGAGGATCCACGGAATTCCCTTGCCGCATACATTCTTCTGGGGCATCACACCTCGTGGGAGATGCTTGGACACGCCTGGACTCGGGGCAGCACTCCTGACGCGTCTTGGACTCGAGGCATCGGTATGCCCTGGGTGTTGCCTTGCAAGATGTGATAATCCGGCAGACAAGCAACGGGGCTCGACACGCACGGGCCTCCGCGCAAGCACGGCGTCGGATTATGCCAAAGCGCAGCCGGACCTCGCCATCCTCGCCATCAACGGCTTCCGCAAGGACGCGAACGACCCGCACAACCCGCTGCTGCGCGCCCTGGCCGTGCGCACCATGGGTTGCATCCGCCTGGAGCAGATGACGGAGTACTTGCTGGAGCCGCTGCGGAAGAGCTGCGCAGACGGGGACCCGTACGTCAGGAAGACGGCGACCCTCTGCGTCGCGAAGCTGTTCGACATCAACCCTCAGCTGGTCGAGGACGGAATTCAAGCAGTGGCGAAGCGTCCTGGCGTGCCTATACAGTCGGCCCAGATTAGTAGGTCGACCCTGCCAAATCAAGGGTGCCCTTGTGTCCTGTGTCTCGCGACCCATGCTTCATACATTCCTGTGGCAATGCGGCCCTCGGAAGGGTCTTTTGTCCTCTCGCGTGCCCTGTCCAATCAAGTCCGACTGTAGGCCTACCGAGCAATGTTCTAAGAGCGTTTGTGGTTTCCACGAAATGTTCTTAGAACATTTCTGGCTTGGACCGTCTTGTTTTGACACTAACACATCGGGCTCATGTTCTAAGAACATTGTCTTTGTTCTTAGAACAGGTTAGGGTTCTAAGAACATGTCGTGGTAGGCCTGTAGCCATTCCGGGAGGGTCGGTCCCTGCTCAAAGAATGTGCACAAATTGTTGGAGGTCTGCGCGGATTCCCTGGATCGGTGCCGCCGTCCCCCACGGCGGCGCCCTCGGCGCCGCTTCTGGCGCGCTCCGCGCGCCTGAAAAAGGAGAGTCCAGCGCGGATCCGGGAGATACGCGCGGACCTCCGAGAGTTGATGTCTTCTCTGGAGGAGCAGGGGTTCATAGAGATTCTCAGGGACATGCTCGGGGACTCGAACCCGATGGTCGTCGCGAACGCCGTGGCCTCGCTCTGCGAGATCTCGGCGGTGTCGCGCAGGAACTACCTCCACCTGACCGAGGACTCGATCCAGAAGCTCATGCCAGCGCTCGCTGAGTGCTCTGAGTGGGGCCAGGTGTTCATCCTGGACGCGCTGGCCAAGTTCGACCCTGCGAACTCGAAGGTCGCGGAGACCATCCTCGAGCGCGGCGTCGTGGTGCGCCTGGCCCACTCCAACAGCGCCGTCGTGCTATCGGCGATCGGGGTGATGATGAAGTTCATGGACAGGATCAGCAGCCCCGAGCTGGTCAGGGCGTTCTGCAAGAAGATGACGCCACCGCTGGTGACGCTTCTGTCTGCAGAGCCGGAGATCCAGTACGTCGTGATGCGGAACATCAACTTGATCGTCCAGAAGCAGCCGCAGATATTGCAGCAGGAGGTCCGGATGTTCGTGTGCAAGTACAACGATCCTTTGTACGTGAAGTTGGAGAAGATCAAGGTCATGGTCCAGCTTGCAAACGACAGGAATGTCGACCAGGTGATTTCCGAATTTAGGGAGTATGCATCTGAGGTGGACATCGAGTGCGTCAGACATTCGGTCAGAGCCATCGGCCAGTGTGCGATCAAGCTCGACAAGGCTGCTGAGCGCTGCGTGGACTGTCTTCTAGACCTGATCCGGACGAAGGTCAGTTACGTCGTGCAGGAGGCCATTGTGGTCATCAGGGATATCTTCCGAAAGTATCCGGGCAAGTACGAACAGATCATCGTGGACTTGTGCGAGAACCTGGAGGGTCTGGACGAGCCCGAAGCGAAGGCCGCGATGATCTGGATCATCGGAGAGTACGCCGAGAGGATCGACGGCGGCGACAAGTCCTCCTCCGCCGCAGACCTGCTGCAGTTCTTCCTGGAGAGCTTCCATGAGGAGCCCAGCCTCGTGCAGCAGCAGCTCCTGACCGCCACGGTCAAGCTGTCCCTGAAGCTGGCGCACGACAGGACCGCGATCGAGCTGGTCCAGCGGGTCCTGAAGCTGGCGACCCAGGAGTCAGAGGATGAAAAGGTACCCGTACCTCTACCCTTCCCTCGTTTTCATCTTTTTGGGCCTCCTGGGCGGCCCTCGTCGGCACCGCTGGATTCGCCTCGAAATCCTGGTTAGAGCCCACCCCAGGAGAGGCCCAGGGAGTAGGTATCGGCACCTTCTGGTTCCTTCAAGGAAAGCAACAACCCGGACCTGCGCGACAGGGCCTACATGTATTGGAGGATGCTGTCGAAGAACCCCGAGTTGGCCAGGAGCGTGGTCCTCAGCGACAGGCCCACCATTACGGAGGACTCGTTCGCGTGCCAGCCGCGCGTGCTGGAGCGGCTCGTGGCCAACATCTGCACACTGGCGTCCGTGTATCACGAGCTGCCCGAGAGCTTCCTCACCAACGACCGGGCCGTCCGCCTGCGGGACGACGACTCCGACGACGACCGCGAGGACAACATCGCGCAGGTGCAGCGGGAGATGCGCGCGGGGGGCACGAGGTACGAGGAGGAGTCCGGCGACGAGGGCTCCAGCAGCGGCTCCGACGAGGGCTCCAGCAGCGGCTCCGGCGAGGGCGGCGGCGCGGCGGGGGCCGGGCAGCCGCCGCCGCCGCCGCCTCTGCAGGCCATGCAGACGGTGCTGAGCGAGACGACGGCCGGGCAGCAGGGCGTCAAGGGCCTCCACATCGACGCCGTCGTCATGCGGGGCAAGGCCGGCGCGGCGGGCGTGTCCCTCCTCGTGCGGAACACGTCGCCGCACACCCTGAGCGGCTGGGCCGTGAGGATAAAGGAGCGGGACCCGAGAGATGTCCTGCCCGCCGCCCCCCCCGTCCTGCCGCTCCTTCCCTCCCTCACCTCCCCTCCCCCTGGCCCCTCGTCTCTCTTTCCCCATTCTCCACCCCTCGCGCTCCGCTCTCTCTGGACTGGACCTCGCCCCCATCCCCCTTACTCCCCCTGGCTCCTCTCTCAACGCTCCTCCCCCTTGTGCGGAGGGGATGTCGGGGGACAACTGCTGCGTGCACACGTGATGCGCTGATTCTGTCCCCGGCCAGCTCTGGAACCAAGATCCGTATCAACATCCTCCGGACCAAGTAGGGAGGGCTTGTTTCGCCCGTCCCAGGCCCAGGAAAGGGGGCCTGGTCAAGATTGGTGCAGGTGCATAGTTGATGTCCTCCTGCCCGCACCTCCGACGACCCGACTTCTTTCGAGTCCCTGTGCCCTGGACCTCTTGACCCCTTCTTCCTTGGACTGGCTTTTCATCCCGAATCGTCTCTTGATTGCACTTGGGCCCAAGAGCAGCTTTCTAATAGGAGATCGACTACAGAATGGACCTGCCCCAGAACTCTCTCGTCGAACATCCCCGCACATTTGCTTTTTTATATTCGACGAAGATAAGTCTTGGGTAAAACAATTATGTAGTCGATATCCTACTCAGGCTTTCAGATAGCGAGCATGAGGGGCAACGGTAGGGGGGGATAGCAGAGGGGGGGATGCATCGACCCCCAATCAATCGCCCATTGATCGCCGATATGGGGCCCGGTAGCCCCAACCTGCCCAGCACGGTGCGGAATCACTATCGGGGGCCTATCGCCGATCTGTCGGCGATGCCTCGCCGATCCCAGGTCGATGCCTCCCCCCCCTGTGCCAGTCCTCCCCATCGTTGCCCCTCAACCGAGCAGCATCTGGCGCGCGATTCCTTCGAGGGCCGCCAGCGGTCCGGGCAGCTGGCGTCATCCCGCGGATCCCCCCGCCGCGGCTCTGCAACCGTGGCCGAAGGCGGGCCGACCCTGCAGTGATCAATGGCTCCCCGACGCCTGCTCGCTCGCTGCGTTGCTGGACCACGTGCCCTCCGGCCTCGGCGCCGTCTGGGGGTTTGAGGTTGGAGAGTTTCTCCGAAAGGCTTAGGCGACCCGACCCCTCCGCCTCCTCCTATTCCTCCTCCTCCCATTCCTCCTCCTCCTCCTCCTCCTCCTCCTCCTCCCTCCCACCTCCTTCCTCCTCCTCCCTCCTCCTCCTCCCTCCTCCTCCTTCTCCTCCATCTCCTCCTCCTCCCTCCCAACCTCCTTCTCTCCTCCTCTCCTCCCTCCTCCTCCTCCTCCTCCTCCTCCTCCTCCTCCTCCTCCCACTCCCCCTCCTCCACTTCCTCCTCCTCCTCGGGTCGCCTACGGCCCCGGGGGAAACCGTGCATGCTCGCTCGCTGTGCTGCTGGACCACGTGCCCTCTGGCCTTGGCGCCGTCTGGCGGTCTGAGGTGGCCCAGCACTGGTTCCGGCCAGCAGGAGGGGCGGGCTGGCTCGAGGCGCCAATCAGGTTCGGGAGGGTCTTCTGTCTGGTTCGGCCTCCGGGGGCCGTTCTCGGGCCCTGGGACCGCCAAAGACGGAGCCGGGGTGAAACGTTTTTTGTACCGGATGGATCCCAGGCAGGTACGGGAGCAGATTTGGACGCCCGAGATGGGCACGGAACGAATGGGTACAATGCCCAACAGCAGTTCCTGTCCACTTTGAACAGGACTCGCTGTCCGCGCAGCCGCGGCCTGTGTTCGTTTTAGACAGAAGGCCGCTTGCCCAACAGCGGCCGCTGTTGGTTTGGGACAACATTTGTTGTTGGGCATTGTACCCATTCTTTCCGTGCCCATTTCGGGCGTCCAAAGCAGATTTTGAGGGGATGTGGGCTCGCCCCCTTTCCAGGCCGGTTTGTCGGGTGCCAACCAGTTCAGACCCCCTGGCCGCCTCCCACTCTGGCCTGCTTGCTCGTTCGGCGCTTCTCTCTGGACAGCCTTGGGTTCTCTCGGATGTCCCCTGTCTGCGGTCGCGGCTGTAGAGATCTCTCAGCGCCGGAAGGAGAATCCGTTCGGCATCTCGCCTGCTGGTCCTCTCCAGCTGGGGGACGTGCACCCAGGCGGCACCTCGCAGACGCTGCTGCAGGCCCCAGGGGAGAGCCAACAATCAGATATGATAGGCGAAGCCACCACACGGATCGAGGGTCGAGGTTTTGGGCGTTGTGGGCTGCTGGAACCCAGACGCCTCCTGGGACCACTTGAGTTAGGGCACAGCTTACCGCTCCTCCACCTCTCGCTCCCCTGACCTTCCTCCCTCTTCCCTCTTACCCGCCTTCTCCTCCTCTCCTCCTTTCCCCTCCCATAGTCTCTCCCTCTCCTTTCCCTGGTGCCCCTGCTCCTCCCGCTCCTCCCGCTCCTCCTGCTCCTGCTCCTGTTGCTGTTGTTCCCCCTCGTCCTCCCCTTCCTCCTCCTCCTCCTCCTCCTCCTCCTCCTCCTCCTTGTCCTCATCCTCTTCCTCCTGCTGATCATCCTTCCTCCTGCTCCCTTCTCCTCCTCCTCCTCCTCCTCCTCCTCTTCCTCCTCCTCCCCCTCCTCCCTTTCCTCCTCCTCTTCCTCCTGCTGATCCTCTTGCTCACCCGCCACCTCCACCTCGTGCAGTGTACACAGGTTCCCGTCTCTGATTGCGCACAGCAGGAGGGGCTCCGCCGTTCGGGGTTTCCAGGCCCGCGGGGTACGCCAGTCGGCGGATACAGAGAACATGCAGCGCAGTGGGCAAGGCTGGGCGGAATTGTTCGGATGTCGACTACGGCGCGAGCGCAGCTAGCTTTGAGGCGGGCCTGTCCCTCTACAGGAGGAATATCCGAAAAGAGAAAACATAGCCTGGGGACGATTTTTCTAACATCTGGACTATTTTGAGGATTTGTTTGAGCATCTTCGTCTGTTCGTCCAAAATCCACCTGTAGGGGGAAACGCCCGACCTAAAGCTAGCTTGCCCACTCTCAACCTCTCCCCTCCTATCCTCCCCCTCCCCCTCCCCTTCTCCCTCCCCGCATTTCTCCTCCCACTCTTCACCTCCCGCTCCCCTTTGCTGCGGTCTTTCACTCCCGGGGCTCTTTTGCAGTGGGAAGCCAGATCCGGACTGCCTGCAGTCAACGCGGACAGTCAGTAATGATAAGCGACTTTCCAAGGTTACAGTTGCATCCCCCCCTTCGGCTCATCCTTGGTCACTTTCGCTGGCCACGCCCCGCTCGAAAAGTGGCGACATGGCCCTCCAAGGCCCTTGCATCCTCACCGTGTGTCCTTCTTTACGCGTTGCCTGCATCCAGCGTGCAGTTTCGACACCAACGCCTCGAGGGGCCTTGTTTGGATGGAGCGCCTGGATGACATGCAAGATGCACGCTTGTGAAACATCTCGCGCAGCGCGTCGCAAGCCGCGGAGCCCCCCCAGACCTCCGACGACTCGATGCATTCGAGTCTCCAAGAGGGCTCCTTCCCCTCCTCCTCCTCGTCGTCGTCGTCGTCGTCGTCCTCCTCCTCCTCCTCCTCCTCCTCCTCCTCCTCCTCCTCCTCCTAGGTGGCTTCCCAGCGGCCCCCACCCCCCCGCAGCATTTTGCCCCGCGGCGGGGCGCGGCGGCCGCGCCATACAGGGGACGCCCCCAGCCCCGCAGGGGCGACCCGAGCGGGCCAGCTCGCCCGCCTGGCATCGCAGGCTGCGGCGCAAGCGGTCGACCGCCCGCGAGCACCTGCGACGGGTGCGAGACGAGCAGCTCCTCACGATGCACCACGGCAGCGCCCCACCTGCAGCTCCCACGAGCAGTGGGGCAACATGGACGACCTGCAGGCAATGCAAGACATGGTGGTGGAACTCGCAGCTCCCGAAGAAGGACTACTGGTGCACGTGCGGCTGCCGTGTGGCGCGCCCAAAAGCACAGCGCTGAAGCCCTGCAGGCAGCCAGTCGGGCAAGGCCAAGGGCGGCAGCCACGGCAGCGAGGCGGCAGGAGGTCCAGCAGGAGGAGTAGCCCAGTTCGCCAGCGCGCTCCAGAACGTCACGCAGTCGCTGGGCACACTCCAGCTGGCCAACCGCGACATGATTGTCAAGCAGTTGGCGGGGGTCACATCAGCGCTGCAGACTGCTGAGAAGCCAGCGCCGCCGCAGCGTTCAAGGGCGGCCCGTCTGGCAGACGCAGCGAGAGAGCCCGAGGGCGCCAATAAGAAGTACAACGCCGCGTTCGAGACGATGCAGGCCGCGGAGGAGAGGGCGGCCAAGGCGCGCGCCATCCTCGCCGAGCGCGCAGACGCCGTGTTCACCGCGGAAAAGAAGATCGAGGGGATCCAGCACGCAGGCAAGGCGAAGCCGCAGAGGGGCATCTTCGAGCAGCTCTTGGATGCCGACCTTGACCTGCTTTCGCCCAGCGACGTGCAGGTCGAGACGGTAGAGAATGAGTTCGAATACGAGGCTGACATGGACGCGGGGGGCAGCCGAGCTGTCGAGGAGGCCAAGAAGAAGGTCTTGGGCCAGCCCCAGCAGAACGCCAAGATCTTCGCTGGCCAGTTGCGGGACCACCTCGATCTTGCCAAGCAGCAGGCTGAGGAATAACGACGGCCGATATCCCAGGCTCACAAGAAGCGCAAGGCCGACCAGGCAGCGCAAGCGGTCCCAGCAACAACGCCAGCAGCACCGACGCCAGCAGCTACTCCAGCAGCCCCGACCTCTGCGAACCCCACAGACAAGCACTTGGAGGAGGATGAGAAGAAGGCGACAGAGACCTTCCTAGGTGGGCGGCGGCAGTTTGGCGACGCCACCCACCGCAACCGCCACATCTTCAGCGCCAGCATTCCTAAGAAGGGACCAACAGCCTGGGGGCGGCTGCGGCGCAGAGGCATTCGACAACAGTACGATGACCACGCCCTGCAGGAAGCATACCCAGGCCAGCACCGCATGGACGACACCGAGCACTCACTGCGGAAGGCGGGCTACTCCGCAGTGGTCGCGGAGGCGACGGCGAGCGACGCTGGGGAGGTGGGTTCTTGCAGAGTCGCGGGGGTCCTCACCAAGAACCACCTCACAGTGACATCTTACCGACACAGGGAAGTCGAAGTACAGTCTCGAGCGCAACGTCAGGCGCGCGAAGAGTGTGCGACGACATCGGCATGTGCGACTGGGCCCCAGTCACCCTGCACATGAGCGGCACCTACATACTCATCATCTTCTTGTTTCTCCTCCTCTTGACCTCGCTGGCCGCATTCCTTGCCATCGCCGCGACGCCCTGGGCCATCTGCGGCAACTACAACTTGATTTGCACAGGGTGCGAGAAGACGGGCGGGACCCAGGCGCTTGGGGCCGCCAGCGTGGTCACACTCCCCGCCGTCCAAGCCCCGTGCTTCTTGGGCGACAGCGCGACGAGCAACCACAAATACGCGTTGATCAACGAAGGAGGCAGACGCATGATACGGCACATTCGGCCAGTGCAAGACGTACCTTGGAGGCCACATCGGTATGGCCAGCAAGGTAAACGCCAACTTCAGCCAGAACGAGTGCAGCAGGCTGCGCATGCCGAAGGCCCCCCGACCTCCGCCACCACCACCACGACCAGCCAAGACCATGAACAACAAGCGCGGCCAGAAGAAGGTAAAGGAGCAAGGGCCATCCGAAGCGCCATAACAACATGAACAGCCAGAGGGCCTGGACCCAGCGGGCGCAGCTCGATGGGAAAGCACAGGGGGGGCACGGCGGGCGCCAACCCCGCCTCCACCCAGACTCAACAACATGGACAAGCAGGAAGTCGACCCGCGTGCCGACATCGACGACTGCAACCTCGGACCCGACACTCAGCACGCCGACCACAACTTGCGCGCCCAGGAGTGCGTCACGCCCAGCGACGACCACAACGACCCCTGCATGCCCAACCACCACACACAGCAGGGCTCCGACCTCCCACGCCGCACCGCTGCCGCTGCAGGCCCCGACGTTCAAAGGGCGACGGCAGACTACAGCGAAGGCACCCCGCAGAATTCAGCGCTGGACGACCAGACGGACTGGAGCTACGCCCGAAAAGTAGAGCACCATCAACCGTTTGTGGACCGCCTGGCAGCCACGCCCACTGCGGCAGCAGACGTGGACACAGCCTCCAGGGTCGACACCTGGGAATCGGCTAGACTACCCCACCGTGGCCGACCAGAGAATGAGTCTTTCTACTGCATCGCGTGCAGAATACCGTTGGAGGACCCCGCCCACTACGTCGGCAGGTCCATTGGCTACGATCCCGAACCTACTCCACTTCGCGAGCACGGTGCAGGGCGGACTCGACATGCTACACGCAGTGCTGATTGGTGGGGCCGCGTTGAGAAAGTACTGTCCACCTTATTATCCCCAAGACAGCAAGTACGAGGCCATCAGCGGCAACATGAGCTACATGCAGTGGGGCGCAGACTTGCTCGAGAAGGCCTACCACCACTGGACGAGGGTGCCAGCTACGCGGCGCGACTACAGCGAGACCTATGGCGACATCGACCCTCTCACTCGGACCAACTCCCGCACGACGCCATGGAAAGCGCGGCCATGCAAGCGAGCGGCGAGAAGCATGGCAAGCTACGACGAAACCTACGCCAGAGCAGCCGAGAGAACAGCGCGTGGCTCGCAAACACCTTTACGACGCCAGGTGTGCTCCACAAGATCATGGGACCTCCATGGCGGGAGAAGGGAGTGGCAGTTGAAGATCGGGGCCTTTGCAGCGCAAAGGACATCGTCGGCACCGAGGCCGAGGACTCCAAGCGCAACCGCCGCCTCAAAGGAGAACCAGACATAGACAACGGTGCAGACAAGATACTGTGTAGTGACATCCGACGCCTACCACGAGCTGGTCGCCAAGCACTCGCCGATCTCTTCAGACCCTGCGATGAGCAACTCCTACGGCAACTCTTCAGGAGCTGGAAGCTATATCTTCGTAACAGAGTACAACAGTGGACACGGTCACAGGAGCGGGAATGGGGCGCCGCGGCAGCCCACGACCACAACATCGACGACAACCAGATGGATGGGAGTGCCGTCCCCGCTGGCGATGCGCCGCCTGCGCTTTGCCGACAAAACATGCTAATGCAGGACCTGCTCGACCGCATGCACCTGCGTGAGCTTGGGCGAAGTGCCG